CACACACACACATATACATACACACACACACATACACACACACACACACACACACACATATACACACACACACACATACACACACACACACATACACACACACATACCGGTCTGTCGCGCTCCTCTGTGTCACGGAGCCCAAAGGATTCGCGCAAATACGCGGCTCCTTTGGGAGTCGCGTATTTCCCCTACATGTTTTGCTGTAGGGGAAACATGTTTGTGTTTATGGTCCTCGGGATCAGCTCCACACACATCACTTGTATTTAAACTTTTGTGAAGACCTGTGAGACGCGGCTCGTCACTCGCTGCTCTGACCATGTGAACGAGCCGTGTTTGCTGCTAGAAAGTTTTGGTATTAACCCGCAGCTCAGCAGAATGGGAAGATTAAAAAAGCAGTTCTCTGTGCGCAAAGGTGCCGGAGCTGTTGCGGGTTTGGGCGCCGCTGTCTCGGCTCTGATCCAGTAGAACGCAGAGCTGCACTTATGAAAAGTACGCGGCTCGAAATGGCTGTTATTTCAAAGAACGTGGACTATTTTAAACTACGCGGTTAACCGGTTTCAACCGGTTAATGAGGCTCGGTGGTCGGTCATAAAAATTCATAGTTTTTTACATCCCTAGTGGATAGCACTCTCGCCTCTCAGTGAGAAGGTCCTGGGTTCGAATCCTGGTCGGACCAGGGTCTTTCTGAGTGGAGTTTGCATGTTCTCCCCGTGTCTGCGTAGGTTTCTTCCGGGTACTCCGGTTTCCCCTACCACTAAAAATATGTACAATAGGTCTGGCATGCGTCTCCTGTTCGGCGACCCCGCTCCCATCTCTGTGTGGAGTGAGAGGACACGTGCCCAAAAATAATAACAATTGTAAACCGCTTTGTGACTCTGGTCTGTGTACTCTGTTAACATAATTGTCAGAAAACTCATTCACTCAGTCATGTAGACCAGCATCTCATGTCTTCTCCTACATCCTCCACCTTCCACTGGGATCGGCTTAAATATTCTGCACAGTCAATTAAAATTGGCAATATAAATATTGTTCTGTCAGTTAGAGTTAACCATCTCAAAATGGGCGGCATGGTCAGGACTTGTGTTTCTTTCTGTGTGGAGTTTGCATGTTCTCCCTGTGTCTGCATAGGTAAAAATCTTGATTGATGAATTGATTTTTCACACATTTCAAAATGTGGTTCAAACCAGAGACCATCGTGCTGCAGGGATTCTATACTCATTCATTTCAACGACATGCCCGTTCCACACGCGTTGTCGCAGATGTAATACGTCCACATTCGGCTGCACAAACCGACCAAACCCGCCCCGCTCCCCAAATCCCAGGCCTCGTGTTACACTTGTGGGGCTTAGTGAGAATGTGGCTGGATCTAAGGGCAGGCTTAAGTATTCAAAGCCTGGCCCATCGCTGCTCCGGCTTTTATCTCCAACCTGTCAGCGAATCGACAACTCACTTTAAACAAGCACAAGCCCAGCTCGCTCTCATTACCCACATCTGCTCTGAGAACATTTTCTTGTTTATAGGAGACGGAAGTGGTGCAATAATGATGGTGATTTGAATGGCTGATACTGTATAAGCCGGCAAGGACTCTTTGTGCTTCAAAGTAGACCTACAACCCTAAATTGTCTTTTTTGTGTTTTTAACCACACTAAAACATTGTTCCCTCATCCAAAAATACCCCTGAAATATGTTTTGCTACATCCATGAAAATAGCAGGACCTTCTGCATGCATGTGACTCCACCCACAAAACTGTCGCCTATAAATTAGAAGTAGCAGAATGTAAACTCGGCCACCACTATTTCATTACTGAGATTATTTCCCTGTCCATTAATAGGGGTAATCCAAACATAAAATAAAAAAAGACAAGAAATGAAACTAAAATAATTAGTCTATGCATTTTATATGCAATATCATGTTACTATTATTTTTAGTTCCATCCATGCTAATGCCAGGAACTTCTGGTAAAAACACTCCTTTCCTGAAAGCTCTTGTTATTGAAGAAGATAACCAGGCTAGTTTTTATCTCCAATTTACTTTGTGTTAATAGCTCCAGTAACTTTTGTACAGACAGAATATAATATCCACTTAGTAATAGACGAGGTTGTTTATCTCATCTAAATTATTTATACATATTATAACGTTTATTCAGGCACATGTTTATTTGTGATTCGAGATTATGAATCAGAAGTATAGGCTTGCATACTCTCTATTTAAAGCATCTCTACTATTTACTTTCAAATCCAATCTAACAATGAGTTTCAAAGAAATGGGATTTCAGTTTGACTGCTGCCAAGAAAAAAATAAACACAAATATTTCATTTTAATTTAATTTCCATCCCTTTATATATCCATTTCTAAGTCAGGGATGTGGCAATCAGAGCTGCCACCCTATTTATCAATGTATACCTTAACCTCAAGTAACTAATCTTCAGCGTGTCCATTTACACTCTATGAATTGGTTTGAATTGTATTTCTTGGCAGTGGTAAAAGTAAAAACCCAGCTCTCTTAAGGTTAAGAGTAATTTGTATCAATTTGTGTTATGAAAAGATCCGTCCACCTGTAGGCGTGATGGGTGCATATAAAACAGATGTGGAAATGATGTTTTAAACAAAATTGAATGTTTTCTTCATCTGGCTGGTGTCTGAAATGAGTGTCTATCGGTCTGATTTTGATGCGTTGTTCATGGTTAAAAACACCAAAAAGACAGTTTAGCACAATACGTCTTTCAAAATACTCCAATTGTGCATTAGACTCTGTAAAGATGATGGAAACGCACACTAAAACCCAGAATCTACAAATCCCTGCATTGCATCGGGACTAGACAGTAGCTCAACTTGATTATGTACGTCCTTTTGTCCGATTCAGAGAAGGATTTATGGATTTCTAAGACTTGCAGACGGCATGGCACTTTGCGCACCCTGGGGTCCTGTTTGGTTTGCCTTTTGTGTTTTAAGTGGCAGTGGTGCGTGGAGCTCAGTTACAGCAGACCATTCCTCCAGCTCTTATCCGCCCCTGTGGATTTCAGGGCGATGCATTCATCTCCAAACTGAAAGGCAAGTGAGCAGAGTGTGGACGGCGGAGCATTTTAAAACTACCAATGAGACAAACTGCAAGGGCGAGTTTGAGTGAGCATTCTGAGATGATATAGTTGAGAAAGCAGCTTCTTGAGAGATTAAATAGCTGGGGGAAAAAAATGTTTTGAGCATAGAACAGGTCAAATCAATGTTAGAACTCGGCGAGAGCAGAGATAGTCCAAAACATCAAATGGAAAAGTACTGATTTCTGAATCCTGTTTTAACGACCAACTACATATTTGCACAAAAAGATCCATAAATTGTCAGAATAAGCAAAAACACATATAGAAACAAGGGCTCATCCTTAATTTTTGGTTGTGTTGAAACACGGTGTGGACCCGGGACAACAGTGGGAAATGTTGCCGTGTTGTTTGGACCGTTAATGGGTTTTTACCATATGCATGTTTCAAAATAAAGAAGTCCAAAACTAACTTCAGACTTTTAAAATGAGTCTTCCAAATGTACAGCGTAATGTACCCTATATTTGGTCTCGCAAAAAGACAAAGCCGTGGGGCGGGTTGAATAGTGAGTTGTTCTGACAGCGCGGTAAGTACAGGCAACGGGTTTTAGGACAAAAATAAATAAAACAACGGTGTATTGCCCAGTGGGAATGAGTCTAGTATTTCGTGGCAAACATGAAACTATCCTGAAACACATAGGACTCAAACAGTAGATGAGGATGGTGCAGCGGTAGGCGGATGTTCCTGTAATCTTGAGCATGTGTCTCCGTGCTGAAAGCCCACTCAGGATGGTGCATCTTGTTGAGCATGAAAAGCTCAGCCCGCCTCTGATTTCTGCTGCCTTTGGTTCTTCTGCCTCTTCCCAGCAGTAATTAGACCTGGTCCTCCTAATCATATCTGCTTCCGCTCTCCAGACGCTCCCATCCAAAAGCTCTCCACTAATCACAGCAGCAGCATGGAAGAAGAGGAGGGGGACAGATGCTGAGGAGTCACTGTCAAATGGAGCTCAATGGAAAAAAATACAAAATCCAGTTTGAGCAAGAAGAAGTAGGAATATAAAATATGGACTTCCTGGTATTGTGTACAGCAGTGGTTCTCAACTATGCCAGGCCATGACAGGTCATTTTCACTAATGATTGTTTTAACATAACATCTCTCCAACAAACTTTGATGAGTAGATTATTGGTTTTGAGTTCAGTCACTCACGTCAAGAAATGCCATTGTTTTAAATTGAATTGGAAATGAGGGTTTCATATAGTTTTCAGTGGTTACCTAAATCAGCAGATATTTAATTTTATTGTGGACACACTTGTTTATTACCATTTTCTTTGTCTTTCCAGAGTACATTGTTTGCAGTGTAGTAGATACATATTTCAAAAATGTTGCCCAGAAAAGGCTTGCGATCGCTCTGAAACTGGTGGATCAACTCCTTTTTGCATGATGGAACAACTTTTAAAGTAGCTTAAGTGTGAATTTAAGTGAAATTGTACCAAAAAAAATAAATATTCAGAGCTATATCTATTTAGAGCCAACTATCAGGGGCTGGTGCTCTGTGTACTGTAGAAATGGACAAAAGGGGAAGCAAATGGAAGGAGGGATAGACCAATTATTCAAATAAGCTCAATAGAAACCTGATTTAGCATGTTTGAAACAAGAACATAAACTTGGAGAGCATGTACCCTGCCCATGCCATGGAAATGCTAATGTTGCCTTTCTACCATCACCTTCATCCACACACCATATTTGTCCAGTAGTGTTTGGTAAATCCTGATAAACACACGAACACACGCACACACACGCACACACACACTACCCCTCGGCAGCTTTGATTGTGTGGCAGTGAGATTGGCAGATTGATTGCATCCTATTGTGGTTCTGTGAGTCTCAGCCTTCACAGTTCCACACTTTGTTGCATATTTCTGTGTAAAGAAACCTGACGCTAACAGTATATGGTTGTGTGTTGACAGCGCCTCCTAGTGTGCGGATCATCCACTCTGGACATGCGTGTAATGTGGACGAGGAGCGCCACACGGAGAGGGTCTACACCATCCGGGAAGGGGAGACGCTGGAGCTCACGTGCCTGGTGACCGGACACCCACGACCACAGGTGAGCGCCATGATGCAAAACTTTGTAATTTCTGAGTTTTAACCATGTTGCACCACCACCAAATCAGGGGTGTCAGACATGTTGCCCGGAGACCCCCAAAAATAATATCTATAGATTTTGACATGGGCTATAATGGTATGTAATAGAACATTTATAAGTGTATTTTCTCAAACAACCACACTTAGGCTAATTATTTTCTGTTTTAATTGCACAGAGCAGTCTAAATAATGTTTTTAAAGCTGATCTACCTGTTTTTAAACTTAGATATTTCACAGTTGTATTTTACAGTTTTTAATCATTGTGACATTTACAGTAACTTACAACATTTTAGAATCATTCTTTAAACTCAAGAATTGTAACCGTTTAACCTTAGCTTTCTGGGTTTTAAGTTTTTTTTTTTTTTTTTACGCATACTCCGATTGACCTTTTACCAAAAAACTCTTTGATATTTTTAACTTTAAATTGAACACTTTTCACAATATGGGTGCCTAAATATTGAAATCGCCCTTACGGAAAAAAAGTTATTTCGAAAAGATCCCTGTGAGTTACTATTTGTGGCTCGAGAGCTGATTGGCTGAGTGTTGGTCCTCCCTTGTTCACTGTTCTTCTTCACTTTGAATAATTTTTTTTTTTTTTGGGCGAAAATACATGCATTTAAAAAAGGCGAGATAGATTAAATGACATTGTTACTCTTTAGTGATTTGAAAGATAGGTGGCATAACTAAGATTTTAGCATGATTCAAAGTTAGGTACCCATGTTAGTTAGTCTCATATATATTTATTTGGACTCCATAATTGGCTCTTGCATGCATGCCGCTGTTTTGCCATGAAGCATTTAATTTATGCATAGCACAGTTCTGCTTCTTCAGGCCAATTTACAATAAAAAAAAAGTTATTTCACATTTTGAACTTTCATCTGGGCTGTCTCCTGTTTTGTCGGCACATCTCTGAGCGCGCGGGGCCAAACCTCTGCCCTAAAAGCGGCTTAAAAGTCTAATCCGTTAATTATTGATGTTTGCGGTTGCCTTGCGCACCTGCTCGCGTACAACAAACAACAAAAGGCCTGTGAAGTTCTAATGAGGACGCGGCTACAACATCTGTCAAAACAAAATGTACGCTGTAGCCGGGGCCGTGTCAGAGCACCGGAGAGCGCGCTGTATTTACCGCGCATGGATACAGGCTCATTATGGAAGGCTTTTATACTTTCTTTCATTTGTGGTTGCTGCAAAAAAAAAGTCTAAAATGGTGGTCACACATCTGCTGTTTAGGAACTTAAAGAAGATTAGTAGTAGTCCAGGCAAAGTAACAGATTTTAATAATAGTAATAATAATGTACTGGTTTTATATTGTGCTTTTCATGAAACCCAAAGATGCTTTCCATGGCATATTCTAGCAGTGCGTACACAATGCCCTGGGGCAGACTGACAGAAGTTATGCAGCCAGTTTGTGCCATTAGACCCTCGGTCCACCACCAACCATTCACTCCAACACCAAAATCATACCACTGTGGCACTTGGTGTTCCCTGAAGTCTCCCATCATAATACTGACCAGGCCCTGCCCCGTTTAGCTTCTGAGGTCTGCCGGGATCTGGCTATGACATGTAGGTGGAGCCACAATTTTGTGTCTGAAGAAAGAATACATTACAATAGTATTTTTTTCAGCATTTGTATGGGGTGTCCTGAAACGACAAAGGTTTTGAGAAGTCTTCTTTGGGCAATGGTCCTGCAATTCGTTTCAGAAAGAAAAAAAATCCTTTGTAAAATCTCTGTAAGGATTTAAAATAACAATAATAATTCTAATAAAATATTGGTGAGACTTAACCACAAAATCATATATAACAGTTTTTTTTTTTAACTTTTAATACTTCTCATTTAAGCAAAATGTAAAATGTAATGTTTTTCTTATTTTGACCGACACCAGCAGGCTGTGGATGGTAGCTATGAAGTAGCAAGTTGGACTTCCCCATGTCTTCAAACTGAATATTTGGAATTGTACTCTACCATCTTTGAGGGCTTATTGTTTTCCTTTATTCCTATCACAATGAAACTTACCACATCCATGAAAAGTCATTTTGAAAATGTGAACTCAAAACTAACCAAATTATCGTAATTTCCAGACTTACTAAACATTCTAGTTCTTTGAACCCTGCAGCTTATATAATGATGCAGCTGAGATGTGTTTATTCAATGAGATGGAGTTGTCAGGGAAGAGTTTATGGACTTATTATTCTGACTCCATCAAGTTTTAGTAGAAAACCTGCCGCCTAGAAAGTATGTCCAAAAGTCTTATTTTTCCCTTAACTCCTATCACAATGCAACTTCTCTTTTAAAGGAACAATATGTAAAAATCTGGCCAAAAGTGGTACTGCAGTCACAGTCAATATTTTGTGGTCCTCTCCCACTCTCCCTGACTCAGGTTGCCAGATTCACACCAAATCCAGCAGCAAACACAGGGAATTATTTTATCAGTTGTTTGTCCGTCTCCATTCACATTGCCATGACAGCCGTGCTAATGCTGAATGAATGTTTTGATTCATGTTTTTTTTATTATTATTATTTGGACATTTGAGATAAAAAACAAAAACAAAATAAAAGCAATGTAATTATACATAGTTTATGCAAAATACATAAGCAATTGATGTCCAAAATAGGAGTGGGAAGAATGGATGTTGGAACGTATTTCTTCAGCGTATCAACATCAGAGTTTGCTCCAGAGGATATCCCCTTTCAATTTTATTTATTCCCTATTTTTTAGACAAACATGTAAAAGTCCCACATCAAAAAGAGACTAACATTATTTTAATTGGGGTACATGTGGTCTTAAATTATTATTTTTACAATTAAGCTATAATCTGCAAAAAAACGTCTTGACCTTCATCTTTTACCGTTTTTAGAGCAATCTGTCATAGAATGTGATAACATGCAATAAATACAAAAAGACATAGCCTGGGATCGAACCCGGGTTCCTGCATCGTAAGCGCACAGTTTAGACCACTAGACCACCGATTCACACGAACAGAGATACTGTGAAGAACGGATTCAAACTAGAAAATTCTGCATCACACGTGAACTTTTATCAGCTGTCTCAATTGTTCAAAGGCATCCCGATATAAATCCTCGTTTTAGTCTTTGTTTTGTCATTAATGATTTGAGAGTCATAACAAGACCTTTTTTAGTTCTGCGCCACATGTTATTTTTACCTCTTTATACCTCTTTAGTTTAGTGAGTTTTAGATTAGTGAGCCGCACGGAGTTCTGGAAACCCGATCACGGACGTACATGACACTTCCTGATTGGCGAAACGGCGGAGGGTAGGACATCAAAATCAAAACAATAACAACTTTTACGGGTCGTAAAACTAATTTTGATATTCAAATATCTCGGATGAACTACTGTTATCAGTTAAAGATGTGTTTGAAAAGAACATGATTTATTAATGCCTTTTGAAATATTCGGGTCATTTAATGATGACTTGACATGCAAATATTACATATGGCTACTTTAACCTCTTTAGCTCGCATCATTTTAAAGCTTATTTTCTCAGCTATATTTATATGTAAGTGTAAACGATATCAGACTTTGCATTAAAAAGATATAACGCATAATATGGGCACAAAATAAATCGTATTTGTATAAGTTTCTTACCTTTCGTCTTCTTCTGCTCCAACAAATTAGACTTTCCCCATCCTTGCTTAGTCTCTTTCTCTCCGTAAGTCTTCATTGAAAAAGAATATCCACTTGTATTTCCCAAAGTATAATCCATTCTTCAGAAATAATCTTCATTTCTTCATAGAACATTCTCCATCTTTATACAGTCTATGGAAGCGTACTATGGTTAAGACCGACCAAGAGAGAAGTCTCCAGTGAAAGAATACAAATGACTCAAACATGCACAAACCGCTCTTAATAAGAACTTTGACCGAGTAAATTATGATGGACAACTATAACATGGTCAAACGCTGTGTCCGCTTCAATCCCATCTCACGTCTATATTCCCTGATTTCTAAAACACCACTTAATCCTTTTCTCAAACCCAACAACATTTGAAGCCTTGCGTGCCCAGAATAACGCAGTGTTCCACAGTTCCTATCCGCATCATCTGAGTTTGCCGAGCAGCTCATTTGGATTTACAAATGTCAACGTGGGAACATTATGCAGCTCCACCAGGTTAACCTTTCAAACACGCAGCCGTTGTTGTTTCCTATTTACCGATGGCACAAATTACCCAGAATACTTGGTTGCTGTATCTCGATCCACCGCTGCACTCATTTACATTCATTAATATAATCCTTGTATTTGATCGATGTACGCAGCTATTAGTTTGTACACGTCCCCTTTGCGCGATCCGTGGCACAGAGCCTATTGATTTGGATATTTCAATTTAAGAAGGTGACAGTGGGGTAATTAGTGAGTGGTTTTAGCATGTATTTTATTCTAATTTTGTTACGATAAAATGCACTAATGAAGGTTGGAGGGTTGTGTGCGCTTTTAAGTTATGGTCTAAAAGAAAAGAGAGATTAAAGCTGGGGTACTTGACTGTCAAAACTACAAACATGGAATAAGTCAACGAAATCCATGTCAACAGTTTGGTTCTATCACTAGTTTTCAGGTTCACATAGTTTTGGCCTCTGTCTCAACTTCATTTTTTTTCAATTATTAATTTAGACTTCATTGATCCACAGGGAAATCACATTGTCACAGTAGCTTGCATATATTCCACGATAAAAATAACATTAAAGTAACAATGTTAAAATACGAATAATAATAACATAATATTGTGAGAATAGAATAATCTGGATATACAGTATACGTACTCAGGAATATACATATCTGTGAATATGTACACATTTAACATATAAAATACAGAGATAATAGGATATTTATTTGACTTGACGGGGATATAGCTACTAGGTCATAGCTACTCGATCTCTTGTCTTCCCTGGTGCACTAGCATTGTTAGCATTGTCAATATTGGGTATTTTTATTACAAAATTAATTGATTTGTGATTGAGGGCTGTTAAATGCAATGATTAAAAAATAAAATGTGTGAATTGTCAGCTGTACCACTAATTTTGAAGCTCACTTATTCAAGATGTTTCTTTTCTAATATTTTATTGTGTACATGCTGTAAAGGTGACGTATTCGCATATTCATATTGTGGTGCACACTGGGGTAGTCTTGCACAGTTTTTCCAATGTGGTTTTACTGCAAATGGCAAATAAATTCTCATATCTTGTCAGTTGTATCAGTGCTGTGGTTTAGCTAAAATCATACACATATGATTTATGTGAAATAACAAACATCATCACATATTTGCAACATGTATGGATTGGTAATTATCATAGCGTGGGTCATCGTTTATTTCGTTTTTGCCGATGAGATTTCTCTGGGTGCTCAAATGTGAGACACTTTGAAACGCATCATTATCAGGGCTCGGTCTGTGCACTGCTGTGTCCTGGACTGGAGCTCTCTGTGGGCACGGTGTGATGGTGTGACGGTGGTGGAGGAGGAGGGGGGGGGGGGGGGGGGGGGGGTTATATGAGGTGCACCGTGCCCTGAGGCTGCTGACGTGAGCGGACAGAAGACTCAGCTCGCCAAAGGCACCAGAGGTAATTTGGGAATAATGTGCACTGTAAAAGCCAGCGTCCATACACAACTTGAATGGAATTATTTTTAGTATGCACTGTGGAGGACCCTCAAATGGCCCTAAAGACTCTTTAAAAGTATAGATGCAGTCATTAATTTTGGCTCTAACTTTAAATTACTGACAAGATTTGCAGTCAATTTGCATCAGGTCAAGTGTGATTTCACATTCTCCCACTCTCTGGTCCTAATTATGGAGGTTATACAGTATGTGCTTCTCACAACTGCCAGTGAGGATAAGAAGTGCTAGCAGCTCAAGAAAATCCCTTTCTATTTATCAGACAATAACATGTTCAATATGTAGAAACAGACACATGATCACTTCATCTTTTTAACATTGAGTTATAATTTTATAAACATTCTAAAGCACTTTATACAGTATGACCATGGCACACCAATCTGCTATACATACAGATTACTTACCGATAAACAGTGCATCAAAACTGTAGAGTATAGTTCTGCACTCTTTATTACTACACACATTACATCACAGTAGTCATATGTGTGGCCTGTCGCACACGTGGTACCAGCGGACACTAAGAGCACCATCAACACCACATCTCAGTTACAGTTGTCCTCCAGGTGATTACTCAGAGAAGCACATGACCGAGCACATCATAATGCTTTACTTTTGAGACAGTCCCCAAACAGCTGTCCTGTTGCTATATTTATATGCAAAACACTTTGGCGAAAAAGTTCATCAGTATTTATTTTACTGGAATAGAAAGGGCAGTTTTTTCACATGGATTTTTAGTACAATCATGGGGTTCTATCTCCACAAAAGACGTACTCCACCGACTGTCTGCTGTCCAGACACTCCATCACCGACAGAGCTGCCTTCCTCCTGCAGGGGGATCAGTGAGGGACAAAGTGGCAAAGAGCCTATTGATTTGGATATTTCAATTTAAAAAGGTGACAGTGGGGTAATTAGTGAGTGGTTTTAGCATGTATTTTATTCTAATTTTGTTACGATTAAATGCACTAATGAAGGCTGGAGGGGAGGGTTGTGTGCTCTTTTAAGTTATGGTCTAAAAGAAAAGAGAGATTAAAGCTGGGGTACTTGACTGTCAAAATTACAAACATGGAATATGTCATGAAATCCATGTCAACAGTTTGGTTCTATCACTAGTTTTCACGTTTACATAGTTTTGGCCTCTGTCACAACTTCATTTTTTTCAATTATTATTTTAGACTTAGACTTCATTGATCCACAGGGAAATCGCGTTGTCACAGTAGCTTGCATATATTCCATAATAAAAATAACATTAAAGTAACAATGTTAAAATACGAATAATAATAACATAATATTGTGAGAATAGAATAATCTGGATATACACAAGACATACTCCACCGACTGCTGCTGTCCTTGAGCAAAACACACTCCATCACCGCCAGAGCTGCCTTCCTCCTCCAGGGGGATCAGTGAGGGGCCGGTGCTCTGTGAATTGATCGCTACCATCCCGACCCAGAAATGGGTAAAGGGGTTGAAGATGGATGAACAGATTTCTAGTATGCCATTGAGTAATGACTGAACTCAAATGCTTAAGCAACAAAACATGTTTAATTTTTGTCCACCAAAGTCAAACCGACCAGTGACACTTTTGCCATTCAGTGTAGCAATTGCATTTTGCCCTGAAAGCCTCAAAAGCAAAATGTTGGGGACGCTCAAATTTCCTACAATGAATAAAAAGTAGGAATGAAATATATATTATATTAAAAAATCCATAATAATATTTAATACTGTCAGTAATAAGATTAATATGTCTATTAATAAAAATATCATATTTACGTATTATTTAAAAGCAGAACTTGAACGGACCCGTATGCAACAAACAGAACAGAGATGTAGCCGATGTCACCTGAATAATGTTGAAACAACAACAAAAGCTACAGGCTGTGTTACCAGCCCATTTTGTGTTTGTCACGTCGAAACAGTGGCATTAAATGAAGCTGCTGGTGCGGCAGGCCCATTCCAAGCTACAACAGAAGTCACATTCTTCCCGCATCAGGTGCAGCGAGAATAAATACAGACTCGTCACTCCTGTTGGTGAACCTGAATGGACCTAATTCCTTTATCAGAAGTGTGATAAAGGCAGGACATCGCTTCTCTTCTTCCTGGAAACCGGGAAAGACCCAAAATAAGTGTATTCAAGTTTTTCAACAGCTGTTTATTTCACTGGTCTGTCCTTTGAGTGGTTCAATCCAGTGAGCCAGACAGGCCCTTAGTTATTTATATTAGGTCCTGGTCCTTAAAGCAGTCAAGCAGTCACCTAGCAGAGTGCGGCTTGTGTGTGGGTCTTTATATTCTAACTAGCTGCTCTGCTTAGCATTGAGGTGATACTTGTGAACACAAGCATGCTATTATCAACGCTTCCACCTGTTCGTTTTTATAACTACATTTCCAATCCAATGTGGTCAGCGTATTTGTTCATGTTCACTGCGGCTTGTTGTTGTCACAAGACTTTTTCTGATAGACTGGCAGTATAGTCAGAAACTTGACTGAACTTTGAATTTCTATTATGATGCTGAAAACAATTATTTCTTGATGAATGGGAATATATTGTTATTGCATACATTTCATTCCAGCCCTATTTTATGAGCACTCTGACAGCTGCAGCTGTGCCTGGTGCAGTGGCCTCCTGCAGTGTAATGCATTAGAACAGGCCGTGCACACAGGACTGTGGGCCTGGACAGTAATGATGGAGAAAGTAGTTTTGTGATTTACTAATGCAGAACTAATTGAGGCCATTTGCTGTGATGGAGCGGTGTCCCATGGCTCCGTGTGGAACGCTGGGCAGATGGTGAGTGTGCTTAAAGACCAAAACATTAAGCGGACAGGGAAATGGACTCAGACAAGTGGAGGATTATCATAAATGTGGAGAAGGCGTTTCACAGGAGGAGCAAAATGCCTGTTAGGTCTGAATGTTGGCACGCATTTGAATACTTGTCAAAACACTCGGCTAATATCGGCACGGCATTATTCCATTGTGCAGGTCTGTTTGTTTCTCGGTCACATAATCAAACATATCTGACCATTGCCCACTGGATACACAATGTAATTCATGTGCCGGTTAGCTTTCTCCCTTCTCATCAAGTAGATCCTGGGTTCGTTTCCACCTGCAGACAGGGCCTAGTGGAGTTTGCATGTTCTCTTTCTGTCTGTGTAGGTTTGCTCCAGGTGCTTTGGTTTCCCCTATCACTAAACATGAACAATACCTTCCCTCTCTTGGAGACTCCTGAAAAAGATATTCTGTAGTGTCATGGGCTTGTTCACACTAAAGGGCACAAAAGTGTGACAAAAGGCCAAAAATTAGATTTTAATAATCAGAAGATATTTTATGTTTTTCATGTTTCAAAGCACCTCCTCTGTCCATTAGAAGTTGCTAGAACATAACTGTTTTATACATTAGACAAGTTTCCTATAGCGGCCCTGTTTATTTTATCTAACGGACGTGATGATTTGACGGAATGAGCTTTGTGGAAGTTTGATAGGTATTTTCAGATGTCCACATTTTATTAAGAGATTTAATTTTTTTACACAAAGTAGATGCAAAGTGATACTTTCATATTGTCAACCAATTAAATGTGAAAACAGATCAGATTTTTTTTTTTCTCAAGTTTAATTTTTACAGAAAAGAGGACCGTCCTCATCACGTCCGTTATACATTTTTCAGGGGTCATTTAAAAAAAAAAAAATCACAATTCCTTTTTATATCAAGTGATTCCCTTCTGTTGTGTTAACCATGTAAATCTTGTGGGATTTCATCTTCTGCTTTTTCAGACTGAGGACATTTTATTTTCTATGTCACTGGCGTCACAGTAGAATGGTCCAATCAGAGGCTAATTTAGTCGTTTAAAATGTTGCTAAACATTTTTATGTCAATCTTTCCTTTAGATTTTTTCCACACTATCTCTTCAATCTGTCTGTGTTTGAAATCTTTCTTCCAATCTATGAAAGTAATTTTAGTTTTTAAGTTATAACCTTTTAAAGTCCAGATACTTCAATTGTCACTTTACTGTGAACACACTCTCATCTATACGAGAGACTTTCCTGGTTAAAGCTGCACGAACTGACTTTGTGAAATTTTCAAATTACGCACATTTGAACGTGGATGGCGTGACCATAGAATGATTGAACCGGGAAGCGCAGAGGAACGAGACTTTCTTTTGGATGGCTGTTTTGCTGTGTAAGCAGAAACTGGTAACGAAGACACGGGAAGCTTCAGGTTAGCCTCCGCCGCTTGTTTACCTCAGCTGTCTGTGCTAACGAGAGACCTGTGGCTTTTCTCAAGAAAGTGGGGGCCAGTGGTCTGCTGTGATTGGTCAAAATCTGGACCCGAAACCCATTCTCTTCCTTGTTGCACCAAAACTCGATCTAAAATTAAATGACACGCCAGCACAAATCTGCATAACTTTTTCTTCAAAAGGACGTATATCCCAATGCATTGCATGGATATGGATTGAATTTTTCGTAATGAATAAAAAAATAAGGTCAGGTAATGCAGCTTTAAATAAAGGTCCATAAATAGATAATCTATTCTATTGTATGGATTGGCGGTTAAAACTTTGTTTCCAAAGATGATATCCCTGCATGTTGTCTACATAGTTTTTGTTGTAAAATCTTTGTCTTAACCGTCCGAAGCCACAATAGCGAACTACCATCTACAATGCAGTATCCCTGTGGGGAAATGTATTATGTTTTTTCTTCCAGTATTTGCAAGATGGGTGGGCACTTATCATCTCTTGCATTATTTCTCTGTTAATTAAACACAGATGCATTTAGACAGCTCCAATCTGCATATCTGAATAAAACCATACAAAAAACCACTTGCATTTTCTTGGCAGAGAATTATCATTAAACCCTGATTGACATGTGCAAACCGCCAATTTAGCATATGACATGCTCTTTACACACCACACTCCCACAGGACACACCGTAGGCCGTGGCTTTGGTCCAGCTCAGCAGCAATAGTACCACGTAGCAAACAAAAGAACCCGCCTTTGCACTTTGCCCGTTTTTCCATTTCCTTGTCAAACAAATGCGTGTTCCTGTCAGTCAGTGTGCTCTGTGGATTCGGGCGTCTTCAGAGAGCGGCTGCTTGGTTTTGGTATTTGAAGGTGCGACCCTGGGCCTTCAGTGGGTGTCATGTCTTTGGGTCAAACGTGTTGGACAGAGTGTGATTCAAAACGGAGAGGTCACAGAGAACCGATGAAATATGTGTATTTTGAGTGCAACCAAGTCACTGACCTTGTATGTGGCATCCAGCTCAAAGTGTAAAAAGATATTTTCTGTGTGAATTATTGCTCTCTGCCACTGCTTTGCGTGTTCTTTGTTTCCGGTCTTCTATTTTTCAACATTTCACATACAATAATTGATAATGAGGTTAGAAACTCCTCTTTTCTCAATCGGTCTATTGCCCCTTTTACATCTATGCCAGCTCGCAGTCTTTTGTGTTAGTTGGGGATGAGGTTATATCCTCACTGATGGTAAAGCTGCTCCTTCTTCTTGGCAAAATAATCCAGTTTCTGTATTGGAATATCTCTGGGGAGATTGCAAACGGGCGTGATCTCAATGATGCTATAATTTGAAAATGGAAACACAATATGGCTTCACACAGCTCATGATGACTGTGAAATTGTTTTTGGTAACACTAAAGGTCTCCAAAGTATGGCCAAAACAACATTCCTGCCATGGGGTGTACACTTTCAAACACTGTATACCTATTTGTCTTATACTTATACAGCGAGCCAGCTGTTGGGCTGAGCTGCCCCGGTGTCTGTGTGGGAGACTGTCGAGTATTGCTGCATGAAAACTGCATGAAAACAGTAAAAAATAGGAAAATATTAGGCAAGGCAAGTTTA